CGAGATGAGAGAGAGAGAGGATGATGAGAGGAGAGAAAGTGTGTGTGTGTCGTCGTGTGAGAGAGAGAGAGATGAGACGAGAGGACCGCAGCAGAGATGAGAGGAGAGAGGGAGAGAGAGGGAGAGATTAAGGGTAGATGGCTTAGGTGATATGAAAGCCATCAGCATTGCTTCATTACTGTTTTCTACCGTTGCTTTGTTTTTGGCATTGTTTATTATTTTGTATCATTGTCTGTGGTCATGCTATCGTTGTTAGCGACGTCTCCATCGTCGGCTAAACACTGAAATATATATAATATATAAGTTATAACTATTAATATTATAACATTATTTATAGATCGGTATCCTTATCTCGATTACACATACAAACGCTAATTAACGACGCATCAGACAATGGGTAGCCAGTATTTGGATTGGGGTGGTTCCTCAAGCGAAGTAACAAGCGAGGGTCTGGTGGTCTGAAATTATTTTTTCGAGTAAATGTAAAAATAGTGCTTTAAATCATTAGACGCTGTTTTCGATTGACAATACTATTTCTTCTGCAGCTTTTTTTTTTGCTGATTAAAATTTTCTTTTTTTCAGATTGTTTTAATTTGATTGGACGGGGTCTTAGCGCGCCCAGGACCCCCCCCCCCCCGGCTACACGCTTGGCAGAGGGACAGGGTTCCGGCCTTCTAGCCGAGGGAGCGGTAATCACGTAGCGTAGGGTTTGTTGACGTCGTCCGCGAACCCGCCGCCGCACGCCCGGCGCCACCTACCCACAGCAGCTCGTGTCCGGGAGCAATGTGTTCGTACGGATGCCCCTCAGGTACGCAGGTGCTGAGCTCGCTGCAATGGGGCTGCCACGGATGCCACCCGGCGCGGCGTTCACTTGCTATGGCGGCGGGAGCGTGGGCGGCGTGGATCGTGGTGCTGCAGTATGATCATCTCTCTCTTAATCAGTCCCTCCTCTGCCTGCCGATGCAGAGAGAGGAGATGGAGAGGGCGGAGGAGGGGGAGAGGGGAGAGGGGAAAGCGAGGGAGGGGCGAGAGAGTGAGAGGGGGAGAGCGGAGATGATCGGGTAAGAGAGGGCGGGGGGCGAGAGGGGGACTGAGGGGGAGAGGGGGGGAAGGGTGATGAGGAGAGAGGGGGAGAGCGAGAACGAGGGGAGAGGGGAAGGAGGACGAGGCGGTGGAGAGGCGCTGAGAGGGGCGAGAGGGCAGAGAGGGGAGGGGGGAGAGGGGGAGAGGGAGAGATGGCGAGAGGAGGAGAGGGGAGAGGGGGAGAGGGGAGAGGGGGAGAGGAGAGGGGGAGAGGGTGGCGAGAGGGGGAGAGGGCGGAGAGATCGGGGAAAAGGGGAGGAAGCGGGCGAGAGGACAGAGGGGTAGGAAGGCGGGAGGATGAGCAGAGAGAGACGGAGAAAGATGAGAGAGAGAGGAGATAGCTCGAGGGAAGTGAAAGAGCAGAGAGGGAGATTAGAAGGCGATGCAGAGCGAGAGAGATGAGAGAGAGAGACAGAGAAAGAGAAGACAAAGAGAAATGCGAGAAATAGAACGGTTAATCCTTTATTCTCCTTTTCTTCGTGTGCTCTTCATTTTGGGTTGTCGTCTTTCGTTCATACTGATGATATCCATCGGTTGCTGATCCCCCAGTTTTCATCTACTCCGCTTATTATTCCTTTGGTTTACAGGGTTTTGAGAGAGAGAAAAGAAATAGGAACAGAGATGGCACCAGCATGGCAAAGTGACAGGGGCAGACGAGAGATGAGAGAGAGAGAGACCGATTGAGACGCGAGTAAACGATAAGAAAGAGAGAGAACAGAACAGGATGACTGTGCGTCCCTACCTTCTGTAGGTCGGTGAGGGGCGTGTCAAGGTCGTACCTTCTGTAGGTCGGTGAGGGGCGTGTCAAGGTTAGCCTGGTCTCAGCTACGGCATGATTGACATCCTGGGGGCGGGGCAGGTCCCTCTGCACAGCCTGCGATCTCTTCTTCATCTCACTCGCACCTGCAACGTAACAACATCAGGGACTTAGAAATTCACCTACCCTCAAAACATCAGATGGGGGAGTCCGCGGCCACAATGAGGGAGTCCGCAGTCTTGAAGTTCAAAATTTAAAGATTATGAAAACAATTAAACGCATTAACATTGTGCTTATTTTGAAGTTCATGCGGTTTGCATGGCTGCCAAAATTTTGGACATTCGCTGAAGAAATACGGTAATTCCGCGAGGGCCGTGTCTGGAACTAACTTAGCTAGTTTATGGTCATTAATTTTCAGAGTAGTCACACGGACTTCGCTTGCATTATGTCAAAATCAGGAGGTCTGTCTGACAGTAACATCAGGGAGCATTTGACTCCGGCAAACTCCCGGTTAATTTCGCTCGCACCCTTGCAATAATTATTCTACAATTCAAATCACAGTTAATTAATTTTATTCGAGTTGAAATTGACTTATTTCATTCGTTTAAGTTCATTTAGTTTGAGTGAAAGTGATATTTCCAGATTTCATTCCAATTGAGTATTTAATTTCGAGTGAAATAAGTATTTGATTAGAGAGCTTTTTATATCTATATATATATAGTATATACTATATCTTAAGTACAATAATACAATAAGTTACAATTTAATTCATTATTTCTCTTTGAGTAAAAATTAAGTAATTTAATTTGATGTGAAATTATTTATTTGATAAAGTATTATTTGACCGACTGCCCCAATCCACTCCCTTCGCTTCCATTCCCTTCACCATACCCTCCCCTTCTCTCCCCTCCCCCTCACTCACGTTCAACCTCTTCCTCCCCTCTTCCCCCCTCCTTCCGCCCTCCTCTTCCCCTCTCCCCTCATCACGTTTCAGCTCTTCCCCTTCCCCTCCTCTTCTCTCCTCCCCTTCTTCTCCCCTCCTGTCCTCCCCTCCCCCCTCCCCTCTACTCACGTTCAGCTTTCTTCCCCTCCCCTCTTCTCCCCTCTCCCCCGCCCCCCTTACCTCTTCCCTTCCCTCATCTCCCGCCTCCTTCTTCCCCTCCCCCTCCTCCTCCCCTCGGCCCTTACCCGCCCCTCACTCACGTTTCAAGCCCCTTACTCTCCCCTTCCTCTTCCGCCTTCCCCCTCCTGTCCTCTCTCCCTTCCCCTCCCCTCACTCACTGTTCAGCTTCTTTCCCCTCCCTCTTTCCTTCCCCTCTTCCCCTCTCCCCCTCCTCTTCCCTTCCCTCTCCCCCTCCTCTTTCCCCTATCCCTCCCCTCCTCCTCCCCTCACTCACGTTCAGCCTCCTGCTTGGATGCCCTCCTCGACTCAGTGTCGGCCGCATCCTCGACGTAACCCCCGGCAACCGCCTCGTCCTCCTCCTCTCCCGTCGCCGCGGCGGCCTCGCCCTCCGGGATCACGATCTCGTAGTCGTTCCTCGGCTTCGGCAGTCCGGCGAGGCCGTGTCTCAGCCCGTCACGCCCGTGCAGCTGTCAAACAGAGACACCTGGTGTGAACGCTGCAAAGGTTTTTCGTTTTTTGCTCGTTTATTTTTTTTCGCTTTTATTCGGTCTGTTTTGTTTTTTTCCCCTCCAGATTTCGTAGTAGTTTTCGTAGTTTTTTCGGCATTTTTTGCGAAGGCGTTTGTTTCCGTTTTTCGTGTTTACGTAACACGAGCCATTATAAAACGACACTCAACTGTGAGAAATTCCTACCCCACGACCTATGACATGACCCCATGACCTATGACATGACCCAACAACCTATGCCGCGACCTTGCGACCTACGCCGCGACCTCACCTGCTCCTCCTCAGCGTTGATGCTCAGGTTGTCTCGTACGGATCCCGGAGTCTTCCCTCCCATCGCCGACCCGGGAGCCGCGGACGATCCGGGGGTCAGGCCTCCACGACCGGGGGTCATCCCTGAAACGACGCGGTTACTATATATAGTAGTATAGATTATGGATATAGATATATA